CTTTGTACTTCCTCATCGCCTCCGCTTCCTTCTCCGCTGTCTGCGGCAGCGTTAACTCCATCAATACATAGCACGCCATTGATAAGTCCAACCACATTAGTCCCATCATAGGGTTCAGTAACGGCAACGGTGACATCCGGTTGATCTCACCCGCAATTGCTGCTACGCACTGGAGGCTTGTCGTCAGATTTTTGGATTGCAATTTAACCCAAGCCGCACGTGCGGCCAAATCTCTCATGTTCCAACTTTGCTATTGCTTTAATTGCACATGCGAGCGCACGATAGTGGTTCCACATGTACGGCCAGTGCTTCTGTACGTGCGATTTTTAGGACGGTTCCAATTTTATTTTCTCTTGGTTTTTTCGGACTTCTAGGCCTCCATTTACATGGGCTTCAAATGTATTTCACATTCATATGCACAACATAAAACACGAAAGAAACTAAAGAACAATAGAAATAACTGAGTGAACAAGTAGCAAATGAATCGAATAAGTCTAAGAACCGACTGAATGAATTGAATGTGTTTTGAAATGTTGTACTTGAATGTGTTTATATAGGTCAGACGTCATACCATAGCCACGTGATTCAGGGAGCCAAATGCGAGTAACAACCTTGTAAATATATGTTTGACTTACAAGTATTTTCTAACTTATACTATACTCTATTTTTGAAATGATACTTTCTGTTTAAATGAATGATTGTCCTATTTGTGAAATGTAGTCGTGGCATCCTTAGCTACGATTACTACTACTGTTACAAAGATCTCTGTCAGTTCCAATTATTAGAACTACTGTTTACTGAATTGATGGTTATCATATATGACTGTTCGATCTTCTAAGGCCTACTGTATTGCTCTACTAATAGATGTACCACGCATAACTGCTATGATTGCAATATGATTTTGAAATGAGAAACTGATTCACTGATGATGGTTGACTACTTTAAATACCGTACGGACATCATTTATAACTACTTTACAGAGTTGTTATTCATTAGGCTATAGCTTACCGTTTATATATGTATGTAGGTGATCAAGTGTAAGATCGAACTTAGCAGCGTCTTGAACTCTGCTTTTTGTCAAGACAGCTTTCGTGCCTCACTATGAGGTTCCAAACAGTCAAGCTTTGAGGCTTCACGGGTGATTTTGAATACACCCTTTTGAATTTTGATCAAGTGCATGAATGGTTTGGTTTAAGACTAATTTTGTTATTGGGTTTAATGCCGTAATTATGTTATGTCTTGTACTTAAACTTGATGTGGACTTATGCGTATATAAGTTTAATGTTTGGACTCACGTGTATATGTATACATACAAAAGTTTGTTTTAGTTTATGTAAATCTTCACAACTCATTAGACGTTATATTTTATTATTTAAAGGCTTCTGCTAGCCCCTATTATTGGATTATTGTTAAGCAAATTTTTGGTAATCTTGGATGACTGATTGGTCACTTCCCTAATCCCGTGGGGCAAGCGTTGGGTCGTGACAAATATCCTTTTATCAATTTTGTTTTTTAAAATTTAATATTTAAAAGACTTTTACTTAATCTAAATGACCCATAAACAAAACCTAATAGAATTATACATACCAAAAGTACTTTACTAATTAATTTTATTATACTTTTTTTCACTTTTTTTTTTATTTATAAATAAAATGTTAAAATTATTTCTTATTTTTATGTCCATCTTATTTATAAGGTTTTTTTTTATTTATTTATTGAATTTCTTAAATAATTAGAATCACTTTTAATTTTATAACATTTTTTTTCTAATATCAAGTTATAATTTAATATCATATAAATTTATTATATATATGTTTATTTAAGTTACATTTTTAAAATTATCAAATGAATATTTATTTTATTGTGCTATAATTTAATATAATTTAAAATTATTATATATATTTATTTAACTTTTTCAACTCTGATGCTATATTCTGCTCCAGGGAACTGTTGTGAAAATACTATTTATTTTAAACTTTTTTTTCTCTCCTATATAACGCATCTCCCTTTTTTTTTATGCTATTTATTGAAATTTCAGATCAATATACCCTTATTAAAATTATTTCTAAAATTTAATATTTGAAATATTTATACTTAATCTAAATTGCCCATAAATAAAACTTTAATAAAGTTATAGATACTAAAAGTATTTTACCAATTAGAATCATTATTTAGAATCATTATTTATTTTAAATTATTTCTTATTTTTTTCTCTAATTTAATGATTATTTTAAATATTTTATATATTCAAAAATATAAATAATTAAACTAAATTTTATAAAAAAATATTGTAAAACAAATATGTTTAAGGGAGATTTACCAATAAATCCCAAAATGTATACTTATGAACCAATTGGTCCCATTTTTATTCTAGTAAACTGTTTAGTCCCATTTAATTGTGAGGGACTTAATTACCCTCATCTAACCGTTGCTCACAAATACACAGATACACACACACAGATACACACACAGATACATACACACACACACACAGATACACACACACACACAGATTCACACACACAGATACATACACACACACACACAGAGATACACACACACACACAGATTCACACACACAGATACATACACACACACACACAGATACACACATACACACAGATACACACACACAGATACACACACACACAGATACACACACACACAGATACACACAAACGTTACGAGGGGCAGACACACACACACAATAGATATATATATATATATATATATACATACACACAGACCTATATACACTCGATTACACGCTTCTCGATCTTCGGAAATCCGCAAATTCCACAAAATCTCCAAAAACAAATTAACGGTATCCCTCAATTTCTTCATTTCTTCATCCTCAAACTCCACCATTACGAAGCAATCTTATTCAAAACCCTACACACAAGCATTCAATCTCAAAATTCCCTTCAAATCTGCGCGTAAATCGATCACAACCTCGTGTTCCGATCTCGATTCATCTCCTCCATCGCCAATCCTCGTCTCCGACAACGGCAAGGGAGGAGGAGTAATAGAGGCGGTTACGGAGTAGGACCTAATAGTACGATGGATGGATCGCCGCCTAGGGTTTCACGATTTGAGAGAGAGAGGGGCAATGGTTCTGGTGGTGGATCTTGAAGTAGGTGAGGAGGAGGCAGTGAACTGAGGAGTGCCGTCGTTAGAGGAGATGCGGTGGACAGAGGAGATGGACTCCTAAGAAGATGAAGAGGAAAAGGAGGAGAGAGAGAGAGTTTGGCGATGATGTTCAGTGTTGATGATTGCAGACAGAAGGGAGGAAGAGTTATAATGTGGGAGATGGTGAAGTGATGGTGAAGTGAGGGTGCACCAACAGTATATGGAAACAAAACAATAATGGGTAAAATCGTCCACACAGTTACACTAAATATGAAAAATAGGATTAACAAGAAATAAACTTCCCTACTGATAGGACTTATCCGAACAAAAGAATAAAGTTGGGACTAATTGGTTTAATAGTTTGTGAAATGGGATTTATTGGTAAATTTCCCTATGTTTAATCTGTAGATCACACGAATTAAGGGGTTGTTTGGGATGTCTTAAATAAGTGTACTTTTTGACTTTTTGGACTAAAAAGTTGAGGAAAAAATATAGTTGTTTGGGTTAATTTTTTGACTTTTTATGAAAAAATGTGTATTAAAAAATTGTATAAATTAGTGTTAGGGAAAAATTAGAATTGGGAGTTGTGCAACCGTACTTTTTGACTTTTGATAAATAGTAATAACTTTTTAACTTTTTGACTTTTTCACTTCATGCCAAACTTGACCTAACTATTAATAAAATATTAATTTAGACTTTTCCCGGTACGATGTAGTTCAATTAATCAAACTTCCTTTGACATTGATTTTTTTAGTTAATTTTTTTTTTTTATGTTGGGACTGTTTTAATTCTAAGGTTTTTTTTGTCATGATTTAAAAAAGTTAAAAAGTCAAAAAGTTATTATTCTATTTAAGTCATATCATTTTATTTAAATCACATCACCACTCTATCACATCACTTCAAACCCAACCCATATTTAACTCATATTTTATAAAAAGTAAAAAAGTACACTTATTTAGATCATCACAAACAATCTCTTAATTTTTTTGATTTTTATGAAAGAAAAAAATATAGGTTCTATTTGATTGTGTTTTCAAACTAGTTTTCTACTTGATGGTTTGAGTATGATGTTTGGATAGAGTTGTTGAATTAATTTTCCACAACTCTGCAGAAAACTCTGTCAAATAGAGCGCATTTTTCAAATTTTTTTTCAAAATTTGGCCTAACCGGTCGTCTGGCCGGTTGACCGGAATAGTGATTATTATTTTTTTTGTTTGCAATTGATATGTTAATTTTTATATATTCGAAAAAAATATTTTATGAATTTTTAAATTTTTTTATGTGCTTTAAAATAATTTTGAGTTGTATGTTTGGTTATAAGTTGTAAATTTTTGTATCAAATATCAAATGTCACATCAACAATTCCCCACTCAATTCAAAACTATTTTCAAAATTCTTTACCAAACAAAATTTTCACACTCAAATCATAATTCCAAATCTCACAAACTCAAAATACAACTCATACTCTCAAATCATAATTACAAAACTCTACCAAACGCAACCATAATGATTATAAAGGTCTTTTGGAAAGAGCTAAAAACGCCAACTTTTGACTTTTTACCTACCTTGGGTCACATTACCTCTCATATTTTTTACTCATAAAAAAATAAAATAAACTAAAAAAATCAAAAAATTAACTTTTTACTAACTTTTCGTAACACTCCATAGTTTGAAGGTAACCTTTTACCTTATTAACTTATATAATTAGTTTTATATTTTTATAACCAAAAATCTAAAACCAAACAAAGTTTTAACAAAAACTTTGTGCGCAAATAACAAATTCCTCCACTTCAATTCCTTTTTCGCCAAAATTCCGAAAATGCCCTCATCTATAAAGACCAAGACCTTCCTCCCCACGTCGAGCTTCTGGTGATTCCATTGCACTTGCAGCCCCCCCCCACTCTCTCTCTAAATTCTCTATCATCAACATCTCTCTTCTCCGATTATCGGTCGAAGTACTCATTTTTGTATGTATTTCAGCTCCAAGAAAGCTTCTTGGCCTCTCCATCAATGACTGTCATGACTCCTGCCCCAATCGATGTATGTTACCCCACCCCTCTCTCTCTCTCTCTCTCTCTCTCTCTCTCTCTCTTCACATACATACATATATATATATATATATTTGTTTATATATGCTATTGTGTGCATATATATATATATATGCAGGTGTGTACATATCGATGTGTATTTCAGTGTCTTTTTTGTATTTGTTCAATCAACATTTATGGTTCTAGCTGTGAGTTTTTATTTTATCGTCTAGGACTTTGGGAGTGGAATTTTGGGCTGAGAATTGAGTTCATTTTTTGTTGCAATTGCGTTTTGTTGGTGATTGGATATTGGGTTGTCGGTTGTGAGATCACTAGGGCTAGGTTACACTTGGATCCAGAATTATCTCACTGTGGTGGGTTTTGCTTTGCAGCAAGAGGACGAGGAGATGCTGGTCCCACATTCGGATTTGGTCGTTGAAGGTCCGCAGCCCATGGAAGGTGATTTTTTATTTTATTTTTTAAAATTTTTTGGTGACCTATGCATGAATTCATGGATTTTGTCTGATATTTGAAAATTTTTGTCATCATTTATTTATGTTTCTGAATCTAGAAAAATGGAGGAAATGATACATGAGTGTAAGAATTGAAAACTTTGAATTGTTTATTTTTTGGACTGAGAAAACAAAATGGGTAATTGAACCAATGGCTTTGGTGTACATTCCAGTTAAATGATAGCAAATGAAGCAAGAAAGATAAAACGAATTTGAATGCCATTTTTTTTTTGCTGCTTTTGGAACTCCAGAAGGCTAAAAACCACAACCTAACTGACCATATAGGATCACCTAGGTTAGTTGAGTTGATTATCTAATGAACACCGAGGCATCTTGAAACATACGATAGATCTGTTTTTTTTATTTTTTTTTATTTTTAAAATTTTATTTTATGGTAACCAAATGGAAGGTGAGTAAACTTAGTAGATTGACAGAAAAAGAAAAAAAGGAAAAAGGGTAAGCTGAAACTCAGAAGTTGAGTAGAACTGCACTGACAGTATGCTCTAATTTATAGTTAACAAGAGGTGTTTCAATTTTTTTGATTTATTTATTTGTTGATGAGCAATCATTAGTTGTAGCACAAGCAGAGACGGGTAACACTACTGAGAATCAGCAAGTGGAGGAACCTCAGACATCAAGGTTCACATGGAGGATTGAGAACTTTTCTAGGTTGAATACAAAGAAGCTCTACTCTGAATTTTTTGTCGTTGGTGGTTATAAATGGTATGTTCTATTTCCACCCTAATTGGTTGCATTTTGTTTACTTTGTCTATGGTGTTAATCAATTTATGTGCTTTGCTTTGGGCAGGCGTATTCTCATTTTTCCAAAGGGAAACAACGTCGACCATTTGTCCATGTATTTAGATGTTGCAGATTCTGCAAATTTACCATATGGGTGGTGTAGATATGCACAATTCAGCTTGGCTGTGGTTAATCAAATTCATAACAAGTACTCTGTGAGAAAAGGTACCTTAATCACCTCTTCTCTTGTTTTTTTTGGCATTTTGTTCTACTTGTTTTGAGCCCAATATGCTAATCAACATTCTTACATTAATAATTTTTTTTTTTTTGAGTCTTGTTGAGTGGAGTCTGTTATAATTATGCTATCTACTATTATATCAAACGACCATCACTTAATTATGTTAACTATGATTTTGCCCAACATCTATTATTTTCCTTAGTAATTTTGACTTGGAGCTTGGGAGTGTCTCTAGTAGTTGAAAGCACTAATAAACCTTCTTGTGTCTCATAAGATATATATTTTTTGATAAGTAAATGTCTCATAAGAATATAGTATGCATGCTAGCTAATATGCATATGAAGGATCTAATATGCACGAGTCATATCAGGACAAATGAGAAAAGGACGAACATTGGATATCCTTTGTCCTTTTGTTTACTATTAATACTATAATTGTTGCAATTATTGATATTTTTGTGAACTTTATTTTGTTTGAACCTTATGCACATTTAGAATTGTATACGCTTGTGTATGATCACATTGATTTGTTTGGCGTTAATTTGATGATTCTTGGCTCGTATAAAATTTATTTTCCCAATTATACACTTGTGTGCTATGTGTATAGGACGTGTAGACCTCAAATAAGTTCAATTATTTATTATTGTAATTGTATAATTATTTATGCCTCTTTAGCATTTGTTTCTAAGTTATTAATTAGCACGTGATTTTGTATAACCCAATGCAATTCCTGATAATTGAGTTAGTGATTTAAATAAACTAATTGAATTTGTTTGCAGAATCTTCCAGTTGTATCCAGATGTTGACTTTTACTGTATCTTTAATGACAAAAATAGGCAGAATCAGATTTGACTGTGCTGTGAATTTTATGTTAACCGTTCTTTGTTTCATCCTGCAGAGACACAACACCAGTTCAATGCCCGAGAAAGTGATTGGGGTTTCACATCTTTTATGCCTCTTGGTGAACTGTATGATCCTGGCAAAGGTTATCTCGTGAATGATACATGTATAATTGAAGCCGAGGTTGCTGTTCGTAGGGTGGTTGATTACTGGACATATGACTCAAAGAAGGAAACTGGTTTTGTTGGATTGAAAAACCAAGGAGCGACTTGTTACATGAACTCTCTCCTCCAGACCCTTTATCATATTCCTTACTTCAGGAAGGTTAGCTGTTGTGCTCCAACTTTGCCTCTAGCTGATTCTGAGTTGTTTACATCAGGTCATTTAGACCAGAAGATAATGAGGTGGATTGTTTATTCAGGCTGTGTATCATATGCCCACAACTGAGAATGATATACCATCTGCAAGCATCCCTCTGGCTCTGCAGAGTTTATTTTACAAACTCCAGTACAGTGATAGCAGTGTTGCAACAAAAGAGCTTACGAAATCCTTCGGATGGGACACATATGACTCTTTCATGCAGCATGATGTGCAAGAACTTAATAGGGTTCTATGCGAAAAGCTTGAAGACAAAATGAAAGTATGGAAACCTTCAAAATTAAGCCCCCTTTTCAGTTTTCTCAATTATTTCAGCTCTGATGCTATATTCTGCTCCAGGGAACTGTTGTGGAGGGTACCATACAGCAGTTATTCGAAGGGCACCATATGAACTACATAGAATGCATCAATGTAGACTTTAAATCTACTAGAAAGGAGTCATTTTATGGTATTTGTTTTACATTTAAAATGCCCATGTATAGAGCTTTATGGTTATTTTTGTGCTTGCATGTTTATGAGTTTTATATGCTCGTGGATGGCAGATCTTCAGCTTGATGTCAAAGGTTGCCGTGATGTTTATGCATCCTTTGATAAGTATGTTGAGGTTGAGCGTCTTGAAGGTGATAACAAATATCAGGCTGAACAATATGGTTTGCAGGTTTGTTGCTACCTTCATTTTGCCATGTAGTGGTTCATGTGGTTCACATGGTTCACATAAAGTTTAAGCCAGACTTGATCATTGCTTTTGGGGAATCCACTTATTGGGTGGCTAAACATGTGGTTGAGTTCCTGCTGTCCATTTTGTTACGTGGTTTCTCATATATTTGGACGCAGTCATTATATTTGTGTTTTAATTCTTACATGTAATTTTATTCAATTTATATTGCTCATTCTTTCTTCTGTATCAAGTGACGATCTTTAAAATTTCAGGATGCTAAAAAGGGTGTCTTGTTCATTGACTTCCCTCCTGTCCTTCAACTTCAGCTGAAGCGGTTTGAATATGATTTCATGGGGACAACTATGGTGAAGTCAGCAGTTCAAAAAACCATTCCTGCTCTGTTGCTCATCAGTGGTGCAAGTCATTATTATTTTTGATTGGCAACAAAAAGAAAATTTTATTAATAAACAAAAATGAGGAATATACAAAAGTAAAGGACAAGAGATACTCCATGAGAAGAAAATAAAAAAAACAAAAAAGAAAGCAAAATTACATCTAGCATACAACTATCCAATCACTATTAATAAGAAACGAAGGAATTCCTTTCGAAGGCGCAGATCCAAAAGGAAGTCAAATAACAAATTTTTTTCCCACAAACTACAAAATTCTTGTAATTTATCTTCAAGTACTTTTGCATTTATTTCTAACCATAATACCCACCACATTGCAGCGCACAAGATGTGCAACTCCAATGGGCTCTTGACTTCTTGTTTGAACCAAAACTTCTAATAATGGAACCACCGAATCAATTTATATACCTTTTAAAGATAAAAAATTAAAAGAAACATATCATGGTTTCTTTGTTATCATGATAATGATTCATGGAGCCGGAATATTACTGGTCTGGTAAAGTTTTTTTGTTTTTTGTTTTTTAGTGGAATCAGGTAAAGTTGACATTGTGAATTAAATAAATAGTATGGCAAATAATGGGATTTAGTGGTGATCTTGTTATTTCTTCTCTCTTTCAGAGGTAAGGAAAGTGATTCGGCGTAAGGATTGGAATTGTATAAAGTTGTTATTTTGATTGTGCATGTTTATATTGTACTGTTCTTATGGTAAATGGTTGCCACACTTAATTTTTTGAATGGAAACCCATAGCATTTGGACTGGTTTAATTTGGAGTTCATTTATGTATTTAAAGAAGGGCACATTGCACTGGACAAAGAAACAGTTGATGCCCCCCATTGCTCTCATTATAAGGTTGACCAAATACTAATCATAAGGTTTGAATAGATAACTGTAATTACAACCTTACTTGACTTTGTATGTTTTAGATGCTCAACCCAAATATGTCAGCTTGGGTGCATTGATGATATAATTTTTTTCTAAGGTACATAAATATTTAATTTTTTCTATTGGAAGCCTTGTTCTCCTTTTTCAAACATGTGTTGGAGCATATTTTGAAGAACAAGTTACCAAATGCCAACAGAACGAGTCTTGGAACATGGGCTCATCAAAATGAAAAAAGGAATTCTAACATGTGTTAAAGAAATGATATAAGCCCGGATGAGATGGAACTCTGCTGTTAATGTGTATGAAATAGAAATTTTTTGAGGCTTCTCATGTTTTTCGTTGAACATGAAGTTTTATTTCTTTCATCCTTTAATTTGATTGATACATTACCTACATCATTCCATTTTTGTTCCCTCATATTTTGTTAATATCTTATTGTAACTTCATGTAGTTAGATAAAGTTAATATGAATAAGATACTCCATCTCATCTAAATTCGATTTTAGTGAAATGTTCTAATTTCATGGCTTTGAAATTTTATCACCACGTTAAGTTGATAAATTGTTACTCTATGTTTGTTTTTTTTATTTATTTATAAATAATATTTTTTTGTTTTTTTGTACATTCATCCTTATTTTGGGCAAGATAACCTTTAAGAAGCTGTTGCAGTTGCCTTAGTTGTGCAAGTCGCATGATCTTCTGTTAGCTGTGGAATGCCCATTTGTCTTCTTTTATTATGTTTTTTTTTTTTTGGATAAATAAATATATATTAGAGAAGAGTCTTCTTTTGTTATGTTATGCCTTTCAATTTTATATCTGTAGCCATGAACTATATATATGACCTGGAAAATGCTGAGTTATCACTGTCTGTTGCTTTATACAGCTCATGTTCCCCTATTTAATAGGAACTTCGATTATGGAAAGCAATTGAATGAATGATTTTCACTAAAGAGTATCGGGGAATCGTATTGTCTATAGCTTTAAACGATGGCAATTTTTGTTTTAATTTTTAATTTTTTGAGAATGGAACTTTGTTTAATGGATTTTGTTTTTCTTTTATATGATTCTTCTATTTGCTCTCGTCCTATAGATTAATGACCGTTATGAGTTCCCTCTGCAACTTGATCTTGATCGAGAGAATGGAAAATACTTGTCACCCGAAGCCAATAAGAGCGTTCGAAACCTTTACACACTTCACAGGTACTGGAAATGTTAGTTTATGCCATGTAGTTTATGGTCAATATATCACCTAGCTTAGCTTTATGGCACTTTCCCTTCCTCTTTCCCCACTCTGGTTTTGGGTCATTGCTTCCGCTCATTACGGTAAGCAGTAGTTATTGTCTTTGTTAGGCTGTGCTGATTGATAAGCTAGGTATTTTTGTCTTTCTACATGGTTGAACTATATTAAGTGCTTAAACATTGCTTACGTAGACATTCTTTGTATCTTAAGATTTGCATCCGCACTCCGTAGGCTATAGTATTGCTACCCATGATGCGTTGTTTTATTCAAGTTTGTAACCTGTGAATGTTTTCTATATGGATTCATCATCTGAAATCTGAGTTGATGCTGGGCAGTTTTTTCTTATGTGTATACTCATTACTAGGAATTTTCGTGATTAATTATTGCTGTGATGGACTAAAGAATTATTTTTGTTGAATTTGCACACTGCCACAAAACACATTTAGATTTTAGGGTTCTGACCACTGGTGGACACAAGGGGTGCTGGCAGGGGCCACAGCCCCCTAAACTTCCAAAAACTCTCATTACCCCCATAGTATTTTGAGTATTCAGTATAAAAATCAGTATTTTAGAATTTATCTAATTTTACTTAGGCCCCTCCAAAATCTGAATAATTATCTTTGCTACCAAAATTTATGGGTCTGTCACTGTGATGTAGGACAGCTTACTGGGTTTTTAAACAAAGGTTTTTTAAGGGCTCAAACAGTGAGTAATTTAGGGTTAAAAGGACTAAATTGAAGGCCAATAGGTAGGAGAAGGGATTAGGGTTGATTTGGGGATGATATGATAGGATATGGTTTTGGGGCAGAAAGGACAGTTTTTGAGAGCTGTGAATAGTAACTCAAGAATAGTAACTTGGGTATGTATGTGCACGAAGTAGAAGAAAGACAATAAGTAGAAGAAGAAGAGAGAGAGAAAGAGGTGCTTCACCCTTGCAAGGGTTAGGCCATTCAAACACAAATACAATCTCAAATTCTCATAAGATCAACTATTTGTTTAATTATTCAGATTACACATATTTATAGGCTAAAAACTTTCCTACTTCTACAAGACTCAAATTTAGAAATTAATAACTGTGCTAATATTCTAAATCAACTAGGATTGTAAATAAAATTTAAATAACATTATTTGAGCCTCAAGATGACCCATGTACTACAGCTACTACTCATGTTCAACAATTATTTGAATTACCGTAATACCACAAAAACCAACTACAATGACATAACTTTGCTAGCAACGTCATAAATTATAATAAATACAAGTAAAGACTCAAATTTATTCCAAAACTTTAATCCTTGATACCCTAAACATGTTTCATGTGAAATTCCAAAGTTGCCATTTTTCTTCTTTCCATGCTCACCATCACATTGTTTGTAGCATAATGCTTTTGTCACAACCCAAGCCCTACCCTCCACGGGTTATGTTCTGTGACTGGGCTACAACCAACTTGGCTACCAAGGCTTTCTTAGACTGGGGTCATTATTAGCCTTAATCTTATTTAAAAATTTGGGGTAAGTTGCACCTGAAGTAATAATTAATAATTGGAGAGTCAAGTATGGTCATAGATGCATAGCCAGTTCTTCATTTAAATCATACAGTATAGCTTACAAGAATTATGTAGTTGTGCATATGCAATCCAGTTTATGCATTTCCCCCTTCGACACTACATGACGCCGAAGCATGGTGACATGATGGCAAGCAAGCATCCAAGTTATTTGTGGAATTTTGAGTACTCGTCCAACCTTATGGTGGACTAGGTTAAGTTGAGTGAGTTTGTGTCTTATCAATCATGAGGGTGAAGACCCAAACCAAATGTCCATTGAGTTCACCGGATGTTCAAAATCGAGCTCCAGGGACTTAGATTACTGCTCACATCATTGGATGTTCGATATGTGTAAATTGGATGCTCGCTATTTTATCATGAGATCCATATTAAGATGCAAAAGACTTGTTTATTTAATTTATTTTTCTTCCACTTTGCAATTGAGTTATTGACAGGATGTCCACTCATGTTACCGGTTGTCTGAAATGGCTCCACTTATTTCACTTCAGCTGTGACATGACATCGGATGTCTAATGTCACATTTGGACGTCACACCGTGTCAATGGCCTGTTTTTCAGAATCCTAGTCCAGATTCAGGTGTTTAGGTTCCAATTGCATTGCAACACAAACACTCAAGTTCCAAGGGTCATTGTATGCAAAAAAGCAACTTTTATCATGGTCAAAGCTCCTCATTAATGTGACTTCTCTCGCCTAAAGGGGTGTACCAAGCTTCAATTCTTGCTCTAAAGAGCTACTATGGTCTTGGCATGGTAGTGTGATCGTATATTCTTATTAGACATAGAATGGAGAAGAACTTCCTTGAATTACACACCTTGCTCCATGTATGGCATGGGCATGTGGCTTATGAATTGGCAACATGTGGGTCCCTGCACCGAATTGCTCCTTTTATTTTTTAATCTTCATATTAGGCCAGTGAATTTATACAATTAGGTGCTTGATTGATTTCCAGTAATAATTAACTGATAAGGAGGCCCCGATGTATAAATGACAGGAATGTTTTTTAACTCTTTTTTTTAGCTTAATTAGAGAGGTTTCATTTTTGAGGAATTGTAGCTCCTGGTCATTAATTTTTTTTAGCCAAAACAAAATCTAACATATGGCATACTGATGCATCTTTAGATGCTTGCTTTTTGTTTTTGTTTTTGTTTTTGTGTGTGTGTGTTTCTTTCTTATTTTATTTTACTTTCATTGTCTATGATGCACTGAATTTAGTTTGTTCTTGCAAATTTGATTTTGTTTGCAGTGTTTTAGTCCACAGCGGTGGGGTGCACGGTGGTCATTATTATGCCTTTATAAGGCCAACTCTTTCTGATCAGTGGTATGCATTGAATTTTCAGATGTGCATACACTTATAATATATTATATATAACTGTATCTATGTTTTTGGTTTAGGATAGTTATGCATTTACTTGGCTATTTATTTGCTGATATTGATTACTAATATGTTGCACTAGCATACTTGTTTAAAATAAGTCATTGGCAAATTTTCCTTATACCTATATAAAAATGTTATTTTTGGTACAAGGAAGATGTCAAACAATAACTAACTTTCTAAATATTGCTATTTGTCTTCTCATATGCTTGTCACTAGAAAAGGGGTATCCGTCTTCTGTATAATTGCATAACGCGTAGTTGCTAGAATTATGGCTTAAAAGTAGCATCGATACTGGTAATGGAGTTCTTACTGTTTGCTAGCTTTTGGAGTCTTGTACAAAATAGTGCAAAAGCTATAGGTTCCATCCATTGGTGGTCCTGTTATTGACTACTTGTGCAATCTGACCAGCTGTGGTGCACCAGAGTCCACACTTCAGGTCGGATTATTGCATCTCCTTTTGGGGTCTTATTTTCATATTTTTTGTTCTGGGGTCACACTTGGCAAGTTATGCTTGTAAAAATAAATGGCTCAAGGAGGATTGAGACCAAGTAATTGAGGGTTGCACTTTGATTTTAAGATTTTTGCACAATCAGATTTTAAATATCTCCAGTACATGAAAAATTCTCAATTATATGAACCTAGTCAAATTTCATGCTTCTTGTCTGCATTGTAGCCTTATGCAAGCATAATATTGTGATTTATTTATTTATTTATTTATTTTTATAGATTTATTAAATTGTGAACTTAACATGGAAAACTTGAAGTGTATAAGTTAGCACATTACACCACTTTTGTAGTCCAGTATTTAATCTTCTATGGGGTCTTTATCGTTTCATAAATTGCTATCCAGGTATAAATTTGATGATGAACGGGTGACAAAAGAAGATGTGAAGAGGGCTTTGGAGGAGCAGTATGGTGGCGAAGAAGAGGTTACATTTTCACTATGATTGCTGGCTATTTTGTGATTATTCTTATGCTTTGATTTAAACATTTCTCTTAACTTATTTTCTTAACCTTTTTTGTTTGCTTACAATTTGACAGCTACCTCAGACCAACCCTGGATTCAATAATACTCCCTTTAAATTCACAAAGTACTCAAATGCATACATGTTGGTGTATATACGTGAAAGTGACAAGGAGAAAATAATTTGTAACGTGGATGAGAAGGACATTGCTGAACATCTTAGGGTAAGATGCTGGTGTTTTGTATCATCAATTTAATTTATCTATCCTTCATTTTAGAATGTGGCCTGGTTACATTTAATGGCATGTCCCAGGAAAGGTTGAAGAGAGAGCAAGAAGAAAAAGAGATCAAGAAAAAAGAAAAAGCTGAGGCTCATCTTTATACTATTATAAAGGTTATTGCTATCTACCTTGTTGTTAAGCAGGCTACTGCTGAGCATAATTGTTATCCTTCAGCTAAGTATTCTTGACTGAAAAGTTATGTGTTGCAATTAGGTTGCACGTGATGAAGACCTTGTAGAGCAGATCGGAAGGGATATATATTTTGATCTTGTGGATCATGACAAAGTTAGGAGTTTCCGTATTCAGAAGCAGATGCCTTTTAACCTTTTCAAGGTACTAATTCGGTATATGCTTTCACCTATTTGCAAAGAGTTAAATATTTTCTAGCTGGCATAGCAGTATTTGTTCATTGACAAAATTTGTGTGAGAAAGATCAGAGAATTGTACAGAAGAGGAAGAGGGATACTAGGAATTGTCGTGGCACTGATAATATTGACTTTGTTACAGTGGCATATTACCCTGACTCTTGTGACATCATCTTTATTTTATGTTGTATTATCACTCAATTGTCATGTTACCAAGTTAGAGTTGCAATAACTTTTGTGTTTTGATTGTGCTAATCATGATGCTGCATGCAGGAGGAGGTTGCTAAAGAGTTTGGCATACCTGTGCAAGTTCAGCGTTTTTGGCTGTGGGCAAAGCGTCAAAACCATACATACCGTCCCAATCGACCTTTAACACATATAGAGGAAACACAGACAGTAATCATCTTCTGCATTCTTATATCTTCACATGCTAGATTAATATTTGAAGTTCTGAAGCCATTATGGTGAGGGATCATATATGATGTAAGCCAGTTGGCTATATATTTGACTAACTCATCTCCTGATTGTCCTTAACCTCTACATGCACACCCTCAGAAGCTGATTATGCTTATCTCCAATATATTTGTCTGATCTATTGTAAGTTAGTTTGGGTGGAACATTGGTCCTATATACATAATTGGGTTCAATCTAATGTTTTATTTGCTTATAGTTGTGAGCTTGAGTCTCGTGTAGTGGATCCTTTACTTGTTTCCTTACATATCCATTTTACATTTGTGTTTTGAGCAACAAATACAATAACAATGAGGAACAAATCACAAGCCTGAAAAATGCATTTTTTTAAATGGAGGATATAAATGGTTGGGGATTCTCGGTGGTTTTCTCGAGCTCTATGGAAATTCATTTCACAAGTTTTATGTCATTTCTCCCAGTTTATTTGTTTTATTGTGGGAAATGGTAGAACATCCATTTTTGGGAGAAATGTACTGTGGGATGAGGTTTCATTCTCATTTATTTCTTGTTTGTATTGCTTATCACATACCCATAATTGTTATATTGTTTCTATGAACTCTTCTTATTGATATAGGACAAGTTACTAGATTTTTAGAACACAGGCTATTTAAGGGCCTAAACAGTTTATAAATTAGGGTTTCCACTTGCACACCAAACATGGACCCAGTTGCACCTCCATGTTTTGCAATTATTTTCACTTCTGCTTACTGATTTGTGATATCTGCTCATTGTTATCATTATTACATTAAATAGTTTTCCTTTGTTGTCTTCAAGTTAGTTTCCCACATTAGAGGTTTATGCTAAATGAACCTAAGAAGGATGATTGTCATTGTTCATAATTCATTACTTTTCTGTTTTTATCTGGATGGTATTTTAGTTCACACAATATCCGCTGATTACATTTTGGTTATACAATAGCTGTTTTCAGCTCCCAAGTTGTTATACCTTTGTGATAGCTTCTGCACGTTCTTTGTCAACTTGTCTAGTTAGATTAACAAAATCCATTAAGTTTTGTTTTTTTATTTTTATTTTTATCTGTAAATATTATTTTTTTATTATGTTTATAAGTTCCCTAGTTAAATGTGAATTTAATTCCTGGCTGAGTAATAGTCACCTATTGTCTCCACATGGTAAAGTGTTTATTATTGTCATCATGAGCCTCAATTTTTCCTTTGCAGTACTAGACTCTACATTTCAGCCTATTGAATTTATTTGTTTATTTATTTTTAAAATGCACTCCTCAATCTCAATGTGCATTGGTGTGTAGGTTGGACACTTGAGGGAGGTATCCAATAAGGTTCACAATGCAGAACTAAAGTTGTTCTTAGAAGTGGACCTTGGAGCGGTGATGTTCTTGCACCAATTTAGGTTCTTTAACTCTTAAGTTTCCTTGTTATGGTATATTACTGATCCTTTGCTTTATCATTCAGGATTTACGCCCTATTCCTCCTCCTGACAAGACAAAAGATGATATTTTACTTTTTTTCAAGCTTTATGATCCCGAGAAAAAAGAGTTATGGTAATTGCTGGATTTCTGTCTTCAATTTTTTTTTGTTTTTTCCATGTTGTAATTACAAATAATTTGACCTATGCTCTATTTTCTCTATTATTTCAGTTATGTTGGAAGACTTTTTGTGAAGGCTATGGGTCAGCCAACAGAAATCGTAACGAAACTAAATGAAATGGCTGGTTATGCTCCTGATGAAGAGATTGACCTTTACGAGGTTTGTTTTCCATCACACATTTATTTCTTTTGTAATATCACTTCCTGACTGAGTCCTTATAAGAACTGTGTGTCAATTCTTATAATCCAAATTGGTGGGGAGTTATGCATGCCATTCTGGATAAAATTCCACTTATAGTATGGTCTCCTCTCTCCCTCTCTCTTTCTCTGCATGTGTCTGGCATGCCAAGCTATTCCAAATTTGAGTTATGCTAAGCCATTTGATCACCTTTTTTGGTGGTATTACAAGTTCAGTCTGCCTCTGGTTGGTGTAGGACATCTTTAGGAAACTTCAAACAAAGCTTATTAGCATTTGTGTTTTTGTGGGTGTAGGACAAGTTTTTAATTTGGTGTTCAGTAAGGTAGAAGGGAGATGGTTATCTGAATTGAAGGGCCTTCAATAGATTGGTTTCAAATGCTGGTTGTTGGATTTTTAGAAATCTTATTAGGAATTGATAGGCTATGGTTTTGGGGTGGAATAGGTCTGCTTTGGAGGCTCTAAAATGCTTTGTGAAGAGGAGCAGAAGAATGAAAGCAAGAGAACAGGAAGAAGTGCTTGACCTCACAAGGGTTAATCAAAATTGATATTAACACAATCTCTAGTTCTTATAAACTCAACTCTATTGAATAGAGACATCATGTAGATATCTATATGATGACAAGAGTTGGAGAGGATCACTTAGGCAGTGCTTGGGATAAACTAAAAAAGCCAAAAAGTCAAAAAGTTACTAAAAAAACTAAAAAGTCTATACTATTCAAGGTAGCTTGTGGGGAAAGCCACTAGGGCAAAATTATTATTTTGTCCTTTGAATTCAACTACCTAAAAGTCAAAAAGTCAAAAAGGGTAAAATGGTCATTTTGATTTTACTACAATATTTTATTACACATCTTTTCGTAAAAAGTCAAAAAGCTATCCCAAACATATATATATTTTTTCTCTACTTCTTTAACCAAAAAGTCAAAAAGTGTACTTATATAGCACATCCCAAACAACTACTTAATCTAAAAACTTAATACTCATAAAGATATAATCAACTCAGCCAAATCAATAGCGTTAACAAAGAATCACTAAGAGAAGAAACAAAGCAAAGGAAAGAACTAGAGCTAGCAAATCCTAGAGTGCCACTTCTTCTTGGTTATGGAATGAAAATCTCTTCCAAAAACTGATTACCATAACTAACAGAGACTATTTAGAATGCTGCCCTAAGAGAATAAGTGTAATCTAGACTGTTAAAATGCCTTGATCTTGGTCATCGAAACGCCTTGTTGAAAAGGACTTGAGGCATAATATTTCCTAGTGCAACTGCAGCCTGTGGTTGTCCAATAGACAATTTGGTTTGTTTCTGGGAAATTTCTAGCACTTTGGATTGTTCCAGGAAGCCAAATATTGTTCTGCATCACTAGGCTGGTAGATACTTAATTATACGAGAATAAGGATTTCAAAATAGGAAACTAAGAAATTTGACTAATATTACTATTCCAAAATTGCCAGACTCCTCAAAAGACCAAATCACACAGCTTGATCAATAATATTGCCCATGGACTGAAAGTTTGTGCTTGTCCAAAAAATAAGAGAATTGTCAAAATTCTCTCTATTTATAAAAGCTTGTAAATCATTAACCAAAATATGAAAGCAGCCAACTAACGTATATAAAATGAAATAGAACCACTTAAACCGAAAGCTGGCTACACGAATTCCATCCTCATATTGGACCTATGTGAAATTATCAGTCTGCACCTGTTCTTCTGTCCATTATTTGCTCACTTTGGTCATCCTTACACATTCACAATTGCATATCCATGCATTTTCATTCTTGAAGCTTCATAATTCAAGCATTGTTATGTTCAGGAGATAAAGTTTGAGCCCCATGTCATGTGTGAACCCATTGACAAGAAATTCACATTTCGTTCTAGCCAGGTATATGTTTTTCGTCATTCATTATACAGCTCTATTGCATAAAGGTTTATTGATTTATCTGTTATCCTTGTGTGCAGCTTGAAGATGGGGATATTGTTTGTTTTCAAAAGTCTGTTCCAGTTGAAAATGGTGATCAGTTCCGCTATCTAGATGTTCCTTCATTTTTGGAATATGTGCACAATCGCCAGGTATTCCTCTCTGGAAATTTATAGACAAGTCAACTTATAATTGGGTTCTCTATGCAATGCTTCCTTTTTTTGGATAGATTATCTTTTGACCCCTTGTGTTTCAAAATGTGACACTTAAACATAGACTAAAGTGAAACCATTAGTTTTTTCCATTTAAGATAATGATTTCACGTGGGAATTTTCTCTTTTTTCAACGAAAATTATTTTCTCACCAAGCTAAAATGTAGAAACATGGATCCAAGTAAAAAGGGTCTAACAACATGGTTGTAAAATGAAATTTCCCTTTTTATTGGTTTTTGTTGTTTGGTCTTGGCATGGTCAGACCTTATATTTCACCCCCCCACTTTCACCTAGGTTGGTAGTAGGATGGTGCAAGAGATGATCAATACAAATGTCATTGTGGGTTAGAGCACTGATGTCTGCACAACACTTGTGGTTTCTGCCTTAACTCTTGCAGTTTCTAATCGAAATTAATGCCAGAAGGAGAAACTTCTTGTTTATGTGTCTATATAAATTATATTTAATCATGATGAAGTTCAATGAAGGTAATATGACATTCTATAAATAAACAAAACTAAAAATAAAAGTACTTCTGTTGGTAACTGAAACTCTTACTGTCTACTGGAAGAAATCTTTTTTAAGTGTGTTTTAGTATGATCAGCTTTGTTTGGGAAGAGGGGTTGGGTTGGGTTTGAGGCTATTTTAGCCACAAAAAAACAAAATAGACTTTTTAGCCCAATAAGACAAAATATCACATCCTAAAAAGCACGGATACGGATATGATACGATACGGATACGGCGATACGACAAAACTTAAAAAAGTAGGATACATGTACGGCGAGGATACGTTTGTAAAAAATAAAAAATAAAAAAATTATTAGCAATGAGTTATACATAAACTCAAGAATGTTGAGAAACCACAGTAACTTTATAATGCAAAATACTAATATTTAAGAATTAGATATTAATTTAAACCAGTAAGTAGTTTAGTTTTTAAATTTTCAATAGGTCTTACAAATATTTCATTTCAATATCAAGTCTAATATGTTGATATTATAATATCAAAACAATCCACAACTTGACCCTATGCTTTTTCCTTTTGCACTAGTCAAAAATATTCTATGCAAGTTTATTTGCTTATTTATTTATTGATATTTAATTTTACTATTGTTAAATTATCTTATTAATCCTTATTTCTATGTAGTTATGGGGGACATGCATGATACAATGAAAGATATGTCAATTTGATGAATTATATTACTTTAGCTTACTATGTTATTTTTATAAAAAAACTAAGCAAAGTATTGTGAAAATATTCTATTTATCCTTGCAATTATATTATATTATGATGTTATGTAAGAAATGATACAATTCTAATTTCGTAAAAGGAGTAATACGTGACTTGGAGCATTTGATACTTCAAAATTAATTAAGAAGTATTTGATAATATGTGACTTGGAGCATCCGATACTTCAAAACTAAGTATCCGATACTTCAAAATTAATGAAAAATTAATTAAGAAGTATCCGATACTTTTAATAAGTATCTGATACGTATCCATAAATATCCAAGGAGTATCGGTATCCGATACGGATATGATACGGATACGTCTCCCTATTTGAAGTTGTGGATGAGAGGTGTGGTTAGAGGTAGTCCAGGAAAATGGCGGGCACTTCAATGGCCTAAGATCACCGGAGGTGGAGAGGAGGAGATCAAGGCAAGCTTGAAGAGGGAGAGGTTGACAATGATAGACTTTTAACACTAATGTAAAGCGAGAGAGGATGTTTAAGCATGAGACTTGGTTGTATTGTTGTTGTTGTGTCTCGCTGCATATACGATACGTTATATAGGCCATAGGAGTATTGGAGCCCAAGCAAACTGTTGGACAGGTGGGTCGTTCTCTTCAACTCTGCCAGAAGTGATGTAAGCCCTTTTGCTGTCTGTGGCTTGACAGCAGGCAGAGAGCAACGTTTCATGGCAGGCGAAAAGTAACGTTTCATATATGCATCGGATGACATGAACGTAAGGTCATTGTTGCCTCTTCTCCAAGCCTGGTCGAGATGGAGTTGTCTTAGCAAGAAGACAACCATCTCGACGATCCCATGACCTTAGCCGCCAGTCCAGTATCCTTTGATGATCCCGAGCAGTAGTGCCTGGGTCCTGCTTCCAACCCAGGCATCCATGTAGGTGAATGGGCTAGGGCCCACCTTGGTGTTTAGGAGAGCTAAGGGCTCGTTTCCAGGTGACCAAGTAGGAGAATAGGCCGTGGGCTTATCTCAATGTTTAGGAGAGAGAGCCAGTGTTTATCAATCCAAGTCCAAGTGAACCGGGGGCTGATTGTATTGTTGTTTGGTCTTGGAGCGAGGTATGAAGGACCATGGGCCCTGCGGGGCCATGGTGCTGCCTGTTGCAGGGCTTTTCATATCTAGATATATTTGGACTTATATGTATGCTCCTGCTTAGGCTAAGCATATAGTCTTAGTTGCCTTGGCACATGGCGCCCATAGGGCTCACCATGTATCAAACATACGACATGTCCGACGTGGTGCCTTATTGGTCTGTCACATGGGTGGGGTTTTGGTGATGTGGCACTTGTAGGGCTTACCACGTATTGAACTTGATACAAGTACCCACGGAAGTATCCGTGCTTCATAGATCACATTCAACCCATAATCATCACATTCTTTCTCTCACAAAAAGTCAAAAAAGTCAAAAAGCTCTTCCCAAACGAGGTTTTTTAGCCCCAGGATAAAATAGCTAAAAAGCCAACCCACTTCCCAAACGAACCCGATATAAGAACTTTACATTCTTTCTTTAATAAATAGGTAGGTAATAATACGTTAGTGGAACTTAATTAGTGTACTGATGTTGAGGCATGCCTCGGACATAAATTTGAAAGCATGTAGCATTGTGTTTTGACTTCAGACTTTATGGTTAAACTAAATAAAATTTCTAGAACTTTCACTGCATTGTAACGCTTGAAGACAAATCAAACTAAATACAATTTTTGGCTTGATATTATGTCTCCAAATATTATTGGTAATGAAAAGGTTTTTTTGGGGGAAGACAAGTGCTAAAATTAGCACCTATAGTGCCTCAATCTTTGATGACTGTTTCTTCTTGTTTCTGGTGTTCACATGCATGGTGTTTTGCAGGTTGTTCACTTTCGAGCCCTGGAAAAGCCTAAGGAGGATGATTTCTGTCTAGAGTTGTAAGTGCATAGTATCAGTAGTATACAACTGCAATATTTTCTTTTCCCTTTTTTTTTTTATTTTTTTAAGAATATCAGTTTGTACTGCCAATAAAAAATTATTGGCTGCATTCTTATTCATAACCGTTTTACATGAATGTCAAGGTCAAAGCTTCATACATATGATGATGTTGTGGAACAAGTAGCTCACCAGCTTAATGTGGATGATCCATCTAAAATTAGGCTTACGTCTCATAATTGTTACTCTCAGCAACCCAAACCACAGCCTATTAAGTACCGGGGGGTGGATCATTTGTCAGATATGCCGGTCCACTACAATCAGGTGATTCATAACATGGTCCTGGGTATTATGCAGTGTGAGAGAACCTCAAAATTTTATTGGTTTTTTGTTTGAATTTGGTCAGACTTCTGATATATTGTACTATGAAGTATTGGACATACCTCTGCCAGAATTGCAAGGTTTGAAAACGCTTAAAGTAGCGTTTCACCATGCTACAAAAGATGAAGTGAGTGTGCATTACAACTTCATTTTCATGATCTTTAGATTTTTTTTCTTTACTCAAAATTTATGTGTCATTTTTTTTAGGTGTCCATTCACACTATTAGACTGCCAAAACAAAGCACTGTGGGTGATGTTATTGATGAACTTAAGACAAAGGTAATTCCCTCCCTCCGTTGAGGAAGTAGGTCATGATATGATATTCCAACACAGTTGATGTTACTATAAATCTGTTTACTTGTATTTATTCCATCTTCCATATTTGAACAGGTTGAGTTATCTAATCCAAATGCAGAACTCAGATTGCTCGAAGTTTTCTACCACAAGATTTATAAGGTGTTTAGCTTCAGCTTTGCATGGCTACAATTGCTTTTTGTTTTTCTTTTCCTATTCTTTATGTGCTGAGAAGAATCCCATGACAATGAAAGTAGAACTTTTGACTTCTTTATTATATCGAACATAAGTTGTTAATTGAAGCAACTACATCTTTGCTGATCCCTTCATGGCCTGATTGTGCCCTGGATAATTCATGTGCTTTTATATCAACTTAAAAAAAAAAATGAACTTTTGCTTTATTGGACGGCTCTAAGTCTTCAAAGGCTTTCAGATATATCTTTGATGCCAGACTGTTTATTTTGTTAAATGTTTTTTTAGCTTTCGAGCAACTAATTTGGCCATCGTATACATGCAGTTTTTTCCTGCCAATGAAAAGATAGAGAACATAAATGATCAGTATTGGACATTACGAGCAGAAGAGGTTCTCTCTCTCTCTCTCTCTCTCCTGTCTTGGCATACATATGTTACCTTTATGCTTCAGTGTCATCAAAACCGTTTTAACAGGTAGTAAAATGTGTAGCATTGTATAGGGTAGACCTGACTGCCCCTGGTCTTTTGCTGTTGTGATGGACACTGAACCTTGAAAGATTCAGTTGAAGCTTGTGTTTTACCCATATGATCACTGAGAAATTTCTTGGAATTTATTTATTAATAGCTGCAAAATCCCAAACCCCGTCCCCCAAAATAAAATTTTGAAGGAAAGAGTTTATTTAGTAAAACATATATGTTGAGCTTGCCTTCTTATATTTATAGTTTACTAGTTATTAGGCCAAGAAAGACAATCCAATCACTCCATGTCAGATATCACAACGTCTTCAATAGCATTGCCATCTTACACAACTGTAGAAATGGGAAAGAAATAGAGAGGTCGGGAAGCTTAGGATCAAGGCAGAAACCAAAATAACCATCAAACTTCTGAAAAACACCTTAAGGGCAGATGGCAAGAAACTCAGTAGCCCACCTCGGGTTTGCCAAGATTCAAACCCTAAATAGATGGTCCAAGCAAAATAATTGCCATATCAACCCAAACGATCTACTAATGGATAAATAGGGGAAGAGACACTGTGATGGGTTCTCTAAGGCCAGAGAATACTGGAGAGGACTTGCCTTCTTCACCGTGGATGGCTACCAAGAATTCATCTGGTGTCCATGGTTTGTAGCTGATGAATAATATATTCTCTAAATTTCTTTATATTGTTAGGTGGAAAGCCACTCATTGGTGGTGAGCGCTAAGTTTGAGGGTCCACATCACTTATATATGCCAAAGGGTCTGATGATACGGACCTTTCATTTGAACGATAAGATACCTAATTGAGTGACATCAAGAAAAATTCCAATTTTCTTTATCTAAAAAAGAAACTAAAAAATATGCATACTTTGCTCTCCTGGCCCTGGGTGACTGATAGAGAAGTATTATGAGTTAGTAAGAGAGTGCCACTAGTGCCACCAGGATAAAGATCAAAAGGAGCTCAAGTTCAAGTCTCCTTAACTTACCTAACAAAAAAAATGTGTAACAATGTGCATCTAGAGTTATAATCAGATGACATTATTAAGTTATATTGCTAACAGCTTATGCTTTGTCTTTGTTGCAGATTCCAGAAGAAGAGAAAAATCTTGGTCCTCATGATCGCTTGATTCATGTGTACCATTTCACAAAAGAGACGGCCCAGAATCAGATGGTAACTAATTAGCAAACAAAAACTTATATATGCCCCATAAACATAAGATTCTCTGTTTGTATCTCTGCATTTAGTTGATACTATTTACTCAACACTAGAAAACCTTGTCACTTGATTTTTCTTAGCTTTAAGTCCTTGTTTCTAGCAGCAGATTCAGAATTTTGGGGAACCTTTTTTCTTGGTCATCCATGAAGGTGAGACTTTAGGTGAGGTCAAAGTGCGAATACAGAAGAAATTGCAGGTTCCGGATGAGGAGTTTGCTAAGGTATGCTTTCTTTGCATTTTTTTTTATCTTCTACTCCAAGTGAACGCTACGTGATATCATATTCTTAACATGTTAAGTAGTATTATCCATTTTTTGTACTGAATAGCTGTTCCCTATTATTATCATTTGATGAAACCTTGCTTTCAGTGGAAATTTGCATTTCTTTCACTGGGTCGACCAGAGTATCTTCATGACACTGACATAGTCTCCAGTCGGTTTCAGGTGCGTATTCCGTATTTACCCTCCTACATTTTATGATGTCCTCTTGTTTTAAAGCTGTATTGGATAGTTATACTAGCTATCTGTCTGCAGAGAAGAGATGTTTATGGTGCTTGGGAGCAGTATCTGGGATTGGAGCACTCTGACAATGCTCCTAAAAGGGCTTATGCAGCTAATCAGGTAAATTTCTGCGATGTGTTTATATTTTGATGTTGTTGCCAAATCATAAGAATCCGAATTGCAACCTCATCTGCTGATAAATACCATTATCTGAGTGGAGACATCATGCGATCAACTTCTGCTTATATATTCTGCAAGACTTTTTTGCTTTGTTGCTTTTGGTGTATCTTAGGTCAGATCAGGAGGAAGCTACTTCAACTTGTTCAGTCACTTGAGTGATGTACATGTTGAATAGCTTGCTATACATTGTTGGTCCTATTTCCTAACCGATTAGTTTTTGAGAGTGATTTAACATGGTATCAAAGCTCAGGTTTTTGGGGGAGGTTTGGGTTCAAGTCTCTCCATTTGCATCCTTTCTTCTCTCATTGTATGGATGTTTGCACGACTTAAGCTTTTGAGACAAGTGGCGATCTAACATTTCATAGATGAGATACTGTTACTTATCCATTTTACTTGATTTTGACATTGTGATCCAATTTTTGCAGAATCGTCACACATTTGAGAAGCCAGTGAAAATCTACAACTAGGGTGAAGGTATTGGCATTGCATTTGCTGATCTTGTTATCACCGAAGCCATTTGTTGCTGTACAAATGAAGAGAGAGTAGTGTGGAGAAGAAAACACATTTTGGAAATGTGCCAAAATCAAGTTTATAGGAATGTAATTCTTCTGAGTGGGTGGGGATGAGTTTTTGCAAATGCACCGTGTATCTTGTATCGAACAACCCCCTTCAACAAAGTTCCCTATGTGGGTAATTATTATTGGTCAGCGGCCTTTCCATCTTCAGTTGTATTCCGGCAGTACATAAACGAGATTTTGGACTAGTGTTTGTATGTATACAGGGTATAGTTGGGCGTTTTGTCATTTTCCTCCTCCATATGTTCAGGAAATGGGGTTTGTTTGTTTGTTAATGTTGTTTTACCCTCTTTCTGGGCATCCTTTTGGGTATTTTTGTAAGTTTGAATTTGTCACACTGCATTCTAAACTGTTGTTAGTAGGGGCCGCTGATTCTGTTTCTTATATATTTATATAGGCAATGAAGAGTGTTATCATAGTTTTGTTTGCAATACAGTATGTTCTTCTGCATGATTTTTTTTTTCCTTCAATTTTTTTGACTTGTTTTTACCAAGGACAGAAGGGAAAGAAGCATTAAGGAGAGAAAGGTACAAAAAGAATTTAAAGGGCTAAAGTGAGAAAATGGCTAAATATAAAGCAGAGAGAGCATAATTTATCCACTGTTGTTTGTGGTTCAGACCAAAATTTATCTCAAAGCAATGGTGTTTTGTGATTTGTCTACTATTAATTATATTTTTTAATCATGTAAGCATAGAGTTCCTGTTATTTGGTGGATAGTACAAATCACCATTAAAAATTCCGAGAAGAGATTACATAGGTCTTATTAGTGGAGTTTATAGGGTTGGTTCATTGTTTTTATTTGTTTAATTTAGTCGGAGTGTTTGGTTTAGAAGGCAAAAATAATATAAGAGAAATGTTTCGTAGCTCGAAACATTTTGCTCCGAATGGCTCGAGGGAGAAGACACAGAGAGAAGCAGAGGGAGAGGGAGAAAAAGAGAGAAGCAGAGGGGAAGAGAGAGAGAGAGAAGACGATCGTCGCCCCTCCCAGTCGTCGATCGTCGCCCAGCCCAGCCCCGCTGCAGCCTTCGGCCGCCGTCGCCCCGCCTCCTCCTCCCCCGAATATTATGCCCCCTCCAGTCTTCCTCCTCCTCCTCCTCCTCCCTCCTCTTCCTCCTCCTCCCTCCTTCCTCCTCTTCTTCCTCCTCCTTCTCCTCCTCCTTTCTTCTTCTTCCTGATCTTCGTTCTTCTGCAAAAAAAAAAAAAAATCGAGCCATTCGGGCTCCCTGTTTTCGAGCTACGTAGCACGATCGATAATATAAATGGTTTAGAAGGCAAAAAAAAGAGAGATCTTTTATTTTTATTTTTTCTCTTAAAATATTTACAATTTTAAGATATAATTTAATAAAAAAATGAATTATAATTGTAAAATTATAACCAAATGGATTATAAATAGTTAAGCTTTATCAAATCAGCTACATAGACTGCAGTCAATATCTTAGCATAGTCCTTGATAATATCAATGAGGGTATGAGAAAAATCAATTGGTTGCAAAATAATATCAATTACTTCAAGATCAATCTTCGCAAGATAATCTGCAGCCTTACTAGTTTCACGTTACGTTTGAAAAACTATGCAATTGTCGAATTTGTTTAGGAGCTCCCAAATCCGAACCAAACCACACTTCTCCATTGATTGTTTTAACTGCACTAAGAGAGTCAAATTCAATCCATATGAATTTAATGCCGAGTTCTAAGGCAAGTTTAAGACCTCCCCATATTGCCTATAACTCAACGACAAAAATATTATGTACATCTTGAGGATGAAGAACTTTAGAAGCATAAGCATATACCGGATCACCCTTATAGTCATGAAAAGTCCCACCAAAACTAGCCTTAAGATTATTTCTACCACCCCTAATAAATCCATCCGCATTCAATTTCGTCCAACTATTTTTTGGTTTCTTCCATATCAATCGTTGAATCGGTTGCGAAACATGTTAGATAATGTCTCAATGGGACCACATAATTAAATGTGGTGTTATCATTTATAAGAAGCCTACAATTTAAGTGATTCAATTTAGTTAATAGACTTAAGGGTATATGTGTTATGGACCTAATGTGTAGATACTAGTTGTATAATTTCTATTTCTATGAGGGGCAGAAATAGAAATTAAAACATATTGGTTAAAGTTGGTTTTCATTACCTTTCAGTTTTAAAACCAATAATGGTTAATTTATTGGTTTTCATTACCTTTCAATTATGAAAACCAATTACAACCTTTAAAAGGTTATGGTCCCTATTCCTTCCAAGGGTGAAAAATAAGAACACTGTTTTGTTTTTCTAAATCCTCTCAAGGAGAAACATAAGACACCAAAGGGGAAAGGATTAGAAGGCAATAACATAGTCAATAACAAAGAGTTCATTGACGGGCGCGTCTACAATTAGGTTATCATACTTGGCATAATATGGATTTAGGAAGAAGAGTTGTAAATGATTTTATTTTGAGCATTAGTCATGTGCATCATGTATATAACCTTGTTAAAGTTCATATATTGTGCTAGATTGTTTCTGCTGGGCTTTAACTCACCCTATTTGGGGAAAATCATTTTTAGGTGTTGGTGATATACCTCTTCTAAGGCAGTAGCTTGAAGGGATTGGAAGCAAGAGTTTCTATTATGTTATATTTATTTTTGTATAGACAAGGACTTTAAATTGTGGTGAGCTAAGCTCACTTTTGTAGTAACCAAGAACTGTCTTGGAAAGATGTAGGGCATTTATTTCGTTGACCACTTAGTTTGGTACCACGTGCTATAGATTCATGGTAAAGTTTATGAATGTGTAATGCATGTGCCCTTTTGTAAATGGACTCAGATTAATGAAAGTCTAATACTCTGTTTATGTCATCTTGTATTAGTCTTTACGGTTGAATTATTGTATTATTTTCGGGGCGTGACATTAATTACCATTCAAAAACACAACACTTACCATTCATTCTCATTTTACTTGCAACTCTTTGTGACTCAACCACTTATCATTTTACCATCTAGTATTGTACTTACCATTTTTTACTTGCTATTACCTAATTAATTTGTTTATGCTTATTGCAGATGAAAGACAACATTGAGCAAAACAAGAATAACATTATATATGAATTAGATGATGATGATGATGATGATGATGATACTAATGACAATGAGTATAATATTCACAGTGAAGATGATGTTTTTAATTCTAATGATCTTCTAACCAAAAGAGATGTTAAACGTCTAGATGAATTAACTGAAAAAAATGTGTTTGAAATGACATTTGATTCGGAAAAAAATGGAGAAAGATTGTATAATTTGTATGCTAAGGTGAAAGGTTTTAGTATTCGAAGGGATCAATCGTATAAGGACAAGAGTAATATGGTTATATCAAGGAAGTGGGTATGCTTAAAAGAATGACGTAGACAATTCAAATACCTTGACGTTGAAGAATGGCAAAGAGAATCAAAATAATTAACTAATTGGTTGTTATGCTTGTTTTTGTATCAAATATAATTAGAGTACTTCTAAATATGAAGTGAATCAATTTTTCAAGGAGCACAATCATTCCATGATAGGGTCTCTTAGTGTTCAATTTCTTTGCTCACACTAGAATGCAGGGCTCGGTATAGGGTTATCCGAACCGCCCAACCTAAACCGATCTATATATAAATGGGCGGTTTTGCAGACACAATACAACGTGGATGCAGTTTAGAATATGGCATTATTGCGGGTTGCGGGTTTTACCCACACCCGCATGAACCCGCCGCACTTAGATTTTTTTTTTCTTCTTTTTTGTAAATTTAAAAACCTGGACTATTGATTTCATTCATCCTATCCGCACTTAGACTATAATATTGATGCTATAATTGAACTTTAATAACCTTTTGCTTATTAGTAAAATTTTCATATACTCAACACATTTTCATACTATATTGAAATGCAATATATACACATTTGTTTATCTTTTTATTACTTTATTCTTTTACACTTTTTTTGTCAAATGAATTATGAAGATTGAAGATTAAATTATATAGTTTTCAATTTGTTTTTGTGCAGGGTTCATTAAACATATGCATGGAATTGGAATTTTTGAAAGTTGGATGTGATTCATGATGGAGTTTGCGAGTTTGCAAATGTTTTTATTTTATTTGA